TGAATTTAAAGAATCAATCAGACACGTCAAATAATTAGGTCAGTAGAATATTTACAAATCACTGTAAGGGGAAATATTATTCTTCCTATTGACTCTTTTTTCTACTAAAATTTGCTTTCAATGAATGTTTGTTTGGGAATTTATTATAAAAGTAGGTTTATTTAATTTCATATTTAATCAACATTAATCAGGAGTGACGAGAATGTTGTGAAAAATTTCGCAATTAAAATATATATTCGGTATTAAAGCAATGCCGCTGATCATGTGTAATTCATTACTGGTACAAAAATACCGTTTCCTCTCCATGATAATTTGTATTTAAATTGCCAATTAAAGATAATAAATGTCTTCATTACGTTGTGCGGTGTTAATTAACTCCTTTAAATACACGGTTGAGTGGCAATGTATTTAAATGTATCACATCTCATCTTTTAATATCGTAATTTTTTCTGTTTTCTTCGTAGGATTCGTTATATATTCATCCGTTCACGAGTTGATTTCAAATATTATTCTCTTTGTTGCAAAATATGGAATGATTTTATAAGAACGAAAGTGAAGAGGTTTTCAGTCATCATTGTAAAATTGTAAGTACTTGTACTTTGTGACTTTATCTTCCTTATATTAATTTTTTGAATTTTAATGATGCGTTTCCTCGTTCATTTTAATTTTGTACCCCCAAAATAGGATTCTTCAGTACAGTTGTGACCACACATTTTTTCGAAACTTATGAATATTATGTATGTATTTATACTTTAATATTTTCTTTAACTTCTACATGTGCCCTAATTAAATATTTTTGCTTCTTCCTTACAAAAATCACAAAAATCAATAATTTATCTTGTTCATTAAATACAATAAACACGTAGTGTTATCTGTTAATAACTATAATGCCTATTATAATTTCTTCCTTTATTCGTACTAATTCTCTTTTCGTTCTATTGAGTATTTGTAGGTCCTTTCGACTCCTGTATTTTTAACCTCTCACCCCTCTCCAATGTCGGAATAAATAACTGTGTTCAGTTATCCAGTTTAGCTTTCCCTGGACCATTTAAATTACAATAAATATATTTTGGAAGTAAATGATTATTATGGATTGATACACCATTGACAGTCTTACAATTCCAGCACTATCCATCAATGCATTTCCAATTGACATCTTATTATTGTACTTTATTTAAGTTATGTTACCTTACGTTCCTTGTCACAGAAATTTGTTCATGAACGGAGATTTTATTCAAAAATGGAATGAAATGTGGAATGAATATGCAACGGTCTTGAGTGTAGACGTGTAGCAAACTGCTTTTGGAGTCCTTGATTGTCCGGAACGCCGACCATTCATTGTGCATTCATGTTACGAAGACCATTATATTTTGTATGACAATAAAAAATGTTATTTAAAGCATGGTCAGAATAATTTGTTTGCAAATTAAATATTTTCTCTAGGTGGGTTGATTACCTCCTGTGGAATGGCATAAATGTGACATTTACCAGTCGAGATTAAAATATATTTACTATTTTGGTCTTCTATTGAAATTATTTTTATGTTTAACTGTAATTACCATCATTAAATAAAATTATATTAGCAAAGGGGAATTATAATACTGGTAATTGAAAATAGAAAATATAGAGTCTACAATTCCTATTACACTTTAAATTAAATTGGGTTATCACAACAATTTTATCAAATTTCTTTATTTCCTCATAATAAACAATAAGAAATATAAATGCTAAACGTTACGGGAAGCGGCATCAAGCTTGATTAATGAGGCAAAAGAGATTGGACTAAGTGTCAATAGTAGAAAATCCAAGGATATGGAATTAACCAAGAAGAAAACTAACCCAAAATCAATTGAAATAGGGGAATATTACTTTGAAAGAGTACACTTCTTTAATTATCTTCGAACATTTCTGAAGCATGATGACTCTTCGACAGATGAAATTAAGGCAAGGATAAGTATGGCATACAGAAGCTACTTTGAACTACAATAACTTTTTGGCTCGAGGTTCTTACTTCATAAATATAAGCTAAAATTATACAACACTTTTCTACAACATATAGTGAATGAAACTGAATTTTTAAACTTACGTAAACGTGATATAAATCCACTAGGTATATTTCAAAGAAAATTCTTGAGAAGAATCTTTGAGCTAGTGCAGGACAGCGGCAAATGGAGAATCGGGCACAACAGAGAGATATATGAGTTGTACAATAGCAACAATATTATTAAATAAATCAAAGTGGCTAATCTAAGGTGGCTTGGCGTTATCTGTCGCTTGTCAGAATCAACTGAGTGTAAAGAATCGACTTTACCGTGACCGGTTGGCGCCCTAAGTGTCGGAAGACCACCACTAGGATGGCTGAATGGTGTTGAGGAAGACCTGGAACGCATAGGAATGAAAACGTGGAGGAGAAAGGCACCGGAAAGACATACACGGCATGAAATCCTGAAGGAGTCCCAAGTTCACTTATGGACTGTTGCGATTTAAGAAGAAGAAGAAGAAGAAGAAGAAGAAGAAGAAGAAGAAGAACTGCTTTTATCGCATTGCAGCTATCTTCAGTGCTATGAAAGAAGAGAAATATTTATATCACAATATGTTCAAAAGAAAAAATATACGTGAAATAGCGGTTTATTAAGAATTTTAATGCAATAAAAGCATTAATAAATCACGAAGAAGATATTACATAATTGCGAAAGGAACGACTCTGCAAATTACCATTTACACAAAAACAAAAAAATTGTACACAACTGAAAATGAAATTTGAAGAAAAATAAAATATTGTAGTAAAAATGATTGGCAAATAAATGATAATGAAATTTGAAGATACATTAAATATTTACCCAGCAGATTTGGCCTAATAAGCTTTTTTTCAAATTAAAGTACTGTGATAAAAAAACGTCTGATTTTCCATTTCTAAAAACATGATCGCTGGTACGAGCTGCATCTTGGACTTCACTGAGGTTGGCGCGCAGAAATTTACGCAGTTTATTTATTCAGCGGGCGAAATGCCGTTTCGGCTGTCCTTCGTGTTGTCTGGAGTAATTCACTTAAGCTCGTTTTTTGCTGAAGAGAACTTCTATGTGCACCGCTCAGTCAGAAAACCAATTATGGATGTCGCTTACAAGACTTTCCACTAAAGGAAAAGAAGTTACAGCAACATTCTGATACATTCCCCCTGGGTTTTGCATCCGACGTGAGAGACAACCTAACTCAATTATCTGGAGTTTCACATCCAAAAGAAGAGGTTTCATAAGTGACTGTACGCCTAGCCTACTGAACATGTCCCCTGGGTGGTTTAATACTTTTAATATAATGATTATATATTATTCATATTTGACAATCTTCTGAATTGTAAAAATAATATTAAAAGTACATTCCACTTCGGTCTATGGTAAGTTTACTTGACAGATGCTCGTTCCATGTCTACCACCGTCTTAGCTGCTGCATACGAATATCGTCTCCTAATATATTGGAAATTTCACTTTTCTATCTCATTAATTCTTATACATATCCATGAAAGCAGGTCATTAAGTTATCATTTTACATTAAACTCCATTTACAACAAAACATATTTCCTCATCAAATTCGTAGCTCCTATAACTGTTCTCTAGTTTACAAACCCGCGTAGAAAATTATCAACGTATCTTGCCGGTGGACAACGAAAGCCACATGCATGGTTCATCTCAATACACACAATTATTACGTATACATGTTGCTATATGTATCTGCAATCTAAATACATACAAATACAGAATGTAATTAATTCACAAAAACAATTATACCTCAAGTTTATAATTCTCTACATCAAGTAAAACTCCAGAGAGGGCCGTAGATTTCTAGGATCTCAAAATGAAGTTACTGTGAGTAGAAGAGAGTATAAGAAGAGTATTTTTACGAAGAGATTTGAATTGCGGAAATACATATACAAAAGTGAGAAAATTTATGAAGAAAAATAATTCAAGATATAAAGATTTTACTTCCTTTGCGATAGGTCTAGTTTAGGAATATTAGAAGAAACTATACATAAAACACGATTTAAACAATTGCTAAGTTGCCACATAAGAAATGAGTAATATAAATAATGTGGTTCCAATATTTTTATATCTAGAGTTGCTACTGATTACATGGTTAAAAAGCGCCCGAAAATAAATAAAACTCTAATATAGTGGTAGTAAATATTAAAAAAGTTACCAAAATGAATTTATTTAATTTTCTCTTATTTATTTGCTTCACATCGAATTAAAATGCTAATGCGCATCAATGCATTCATGGGCTATTCCATGGTGTTTGGTAATATTTACTCGTAAAACAAGCAATACTCATATTTACCCTATATCAGTTTACAAGGACGGTCACATGTCAGAAATACTACTGCAAATTTATCCTGCGTATTAAATAATATTAAGGTAGGAAACAAATTGTAAGTTACATTTAACCTCGCACAGAAGCTAGGCAAAGTAGTGTTCTCCATCTAGTAGGATAGTATTTATTTTTAAAGTTCTTTAGTGTTTGGGTTGCATTTGCGTTACACAGATATTCAAATTTTTATTGTCGATTAATGAAGAGATCTCGTATCATCACTGCAAGGATATACATAATCATAATAGTACATGATAGATCAACATAATCCCAAGGAACACGTCAACGTTCATCCCATTCTCATTTTACTGTTACTGTCCTTCAGGCATTTTTGTTTCAAATGTGAATGTATCCAAATGCTTTTTGTTTATCTATGGCCAATGGTCACTTTTTTGAAGACCATTCTTTCGATACACATGTTTATTGAGTTATTGGAAGTCAAACATCCTTCGATTATCAATTCTTTTGATAGGATATGGACGTAGACACAACATAAACACTTACATGACATGAACAGTCAACAATTCTCAACGTTTTTAAAAAAAATTAAAACATTTTTACAAGCATACTATAGTGGTGTGATCGTCACATGAATAACTAATAGAGAAACTAGCATTGGTTATTTTTAGTGAACTTGAACAATGTCTTGGGTACATCAAATCGTATTGCGGGAACGTATGTATGCAAGATTCATCTTGTCTTGTTTAATACGTGTACGTGTGCATTTGCTACGTGTTATGACTAAATATATATAATTGTGAATTAGCACGAAAGGTACAGAGATATGTCGTTTGATTAACTACGTCCCTACGTGCAATGGAACTGGAGTGTGCTGTGGGCTCATATGTGCAGCTTAGCTAGACTTGGTGTGCAGTCACTGCTGTTTTCTATGGCAACGAATGTCGTCTGGAGTAATGGAATTGAAGTGTGCTTAGTGCTTCAAGGTTGAGCGTAGAGTGCCCAGATGTCACATCGTCCCTCGACGTGACTTTTGCATCGTTAAGCTGTGTGCAATGGTACTGAAGTGTGCTGTGGTACTGAAGTGTGCTGTGGTACTGAAGTGTGCTGTGGTACTGAAGTGTGCTGTGTGCTTGGGTGGTGTGGGCCTGAATGCTAAGTGTCGTCTCTACATCATAACTGCGCGCATTTTGATGTTGCTAATGCTCTGTCTGATGTGTGACAATTCCAACTGAAGTGTACTGAGTGCGTAAGAGCTGGTGTCCTCCATCTGGGCTGCGCCTGTAGTTCTTCTGCTACAGTATTGAATCTTTTAAGCACGTCTTTCCCTGCATTAGAATTGCACTTTGGTGTTTGCTTCTCTGCTTGCGCTCGTGAGCTGCATTGTAGCTGGGAGCGCCGAGATGCTTCTGGGGTATCATTATACATTTGGCGCAATGGAAATGAAGTGTATTGTGTTTTGGGGTGCTGTGTGCCTGGGTGCTGTGTGCCTGAGTTCTGAATGATAATCTGTGTATTATCTGCGCGCACTATAATGTTGCTGCTGTGGTGTGTGTCTGTCTGTGGTGTATAACTGAAGTGTGCTGGCGCGCACCATCGTCGCTAGGTGCGCTGTTCTCTTGTACGTAGTGCTGCATCGTGTAAAAGAACCGTAGGATGATTTGTGCTCTTCTACTTGCGCTTATGAGCTGCATTGTAGCCGGGAGCACGACGATGTTTTTGGTGTTGTATTGCAAGGATGCATAGGCAGGTTCTCCGAGGCTCTAACGTTTTCTATTTCGCTTCATTCTCTGCCCAGTTGTACTTCTAAGACAAAGCCCCCTGTTTATTTTTCTTCTAACTTCATTTTCATCATTGGCTTAGGAAAACTTCTCAAACATTGTATAGGTAAGTTGAAATTTGATTTTAAAGTCAATGCATTTTAAGGGCCTTATAATAGAAATTTAAATAATCATTTATTTAACATTAAGGTTGAGTTTTATTGGAATTATTAACAAAAGACGTTATTGAGAATAAAACTCGGATTTTTAGTACATTTTTCGAGACCCTACGCATTCATGTAGTTTCCCAAGTGCAGGCATGCTATGGTTGACCCCGTTGTGCAGTGCTTAGTGTGGGCGGTGCGTTGTGTGCGCAGCGTGGCTGGGGGCGCTGTGCTGCTGCTGCTCGCTGGCCGCCGCGCCGTTGGCCGCCGCCGCCTGCCGCCGGCGCTCCGCGCGCCTCGCCGCCGTGCTGGGCGGCCTCGTCATGGCGCTCGCCTGCCTCTTCGCCTCCTTCGCCGTCCAGCTGCACCAGGTACTTCTCACCGGCCCCCTCCCTCCTCTTGGCCTTTTCGCTCCTCCTCCTCTTGGCCTTTTCGCTCCTCCTCCTCTTGGCCTTTTCGCTCCTCCTCCTCTTGGCCTTTGGCTCCTCCTCTTGGCCTTTGGCTCCTCCTCTTGGCCTTTGGCTCCTCCTCTTCGCTTTTGGCTCCTCCACTTGGCCTTTTCGCTCCTCCTCTTGGCCTATTCGCTCCTCCTCCTCTTGGCCTTTTACTCCTCATGGCCTTTTACTCCTGATGGCCTTTTACTCCTCTTGGCCTTTTACTGCTCTTTGCTTTTTACTCTTTTTTTACGGCTTTTTCTCTCTTACTGCTCTTTCCCTCTTACTGTTTTTTTCTGTTTTACTTCTCTTTCTTTTTTTTCTTTGTATCTCTATTGTTCTTTCCTTCTTTCTTTCGTTCCTTGAGTTAATCTAGCAAAGTTGCATGGTGCGCTTTACCTCCTGGCTTGCGTACGCCGATTTCGACGAGGTGACGTTTAAAGGAACTCTGCGATACCCCCGAACGGGTCGGTGAAGATAATACGTAAAATGATGATGGGAAGAATATATCAAATGACCGTGGCCCATAGTATAGGATGCTGCTTCACCATTCGTCTTGAACTGATCAAGGAAAGCACGAAAATAGCTTCTCAAAGAAGCTCGCTTACGAATGCGATGTCGGAACGCCCCACAAATACGCCGATGTTAAACATATCAAGTAAGTCATTCTATCTTCACTCCAAGCAAAACATCTATTGGAATATGTTTCCGTCGAGGTCACAATAAAAACCGATTGTCCCGGGAATTATTGCTGTAGTCGCGAACACGCCACTGCCGGGAACATCGAATTCGGAGCAAAGCTGCTTAGCGCGGGCGCCGTGCTAAAAGCGAGCCCCACATGAGAGTCAGACCAGTGACCGTTCGGAGCGGCGTTTGTGTTGGCAGGACTTCAAAGATGGCGCCCGGCCCAAAGCCCCCTCGCATTGCTTGTCTAAGACGGCGAATCCGGGCGCGCTTCTGTTTTCCAACAGAGACCAAAGCCCTCTCCGACATGGTTATCTCTAATTCCGTGTCTGCTGCAGGGCTCTCACTCAATACGGTCTGTCGAGACATGTCAGAACTCGCTTGTTTTCGTTTCCGCGATTGTTAAGATTACATGTGATTCGTGTGCTCAGTTTTAACTGCCGGGACAAACAGAGTGAACAGAAACAAAGCTAATAGTAAATGACACACACTAGTACAGAAATGATTTGATCTATAATATTGAAAATTTAGGAAAAATCAAACTATTTATTAGGGGTAATTTTAAAAGAAAAAATACAAGAAAAGATACAAGAAATTGAAACGTACATTAATATCTAAAAATTAAGAGAGAAGCATACAAAAATAATAGTATTTTTTTAGATTATTAATGAAAACACGAACCACAGAAAAAATACTCTCGTATTTATTTATACTTTATACACTAATAAAACAAATATTTTAACAAAAACAGTCTTCACGAATACTGCAATAATGTAGTACAGTATTGACCGATACACAAGACAACAGTTATTTACATACCAAGAATGCTTTTTTAAAAAATTGTTGCCCAAAACGCAAGACTTGATGACGCAAAATTTGATGGCAGGCGGCCTCTTCCTGCGAGCCTTGATTTCGCATGAAGTCATCTTTCTCTCAACCAGTAACCACTGAGTTCGAGTATTCACTGGGTGTACGCAGTATGAAAGTAGACGACATAACAACTATTTGCATTTTCCAGTCATAATAGACACGGTTTCATTTCTACTGGATTTTTCATGAGTTCCTGACTATCAGCCTGTAACAAATCAAGATAATCAAATATTTTCGATGTTTGTGTGCACGGCCCATCTGTATAAAAATGATATGATAGATGCGTTAATAACAGACACGACACTAAAAAATATAAAAATAATAATAACCAGAATTGGAATGAAAGTCGTACCGAATGCAGTATGATATATGGTCTGGTGGTCGACGAAATATTATGAACTGTAAGACGTTATTCCGTTAAAAGTAAAGACTGAGTGGTTTAATCGTCGACAAGGGGTCACGTCTTGGAGGAGTTGGAAGATTTGAAAAAAAATACGAATTATGTTTGACGACTTGTGCACGTGAGCAGGAAGACTTAATTGAAATACGAACAGACCGTAAGTTATTCCTTTCAATTGCTTGTGTAAAGTTCTTCTCGTTGATATTGTGTCTATTCCTAAGTATTGTTTAATACTGTAAATAAATGTGTTATTTTGATTTGAATCTTGAAAATTTTTTTATTTAATCAAATGATAAGTTACCTTGTTCAAGTTTATGGTGCATACTATAAAATCAGCGACTCTGAAATAAATAAATATATAAATAAATAAATAAATGGATACTTAAGTTTTTTCTTATTAGTAGATTTATTTCACTAAAGGAAAAATTAAAATTATCACACTATATAAACCTCCCTCAGATGAAACCCCTCTCATGTGACCAGATACTGTAGAGATTCTCTATCAATTTTTGTGCGTAATTGAAATTAGTAATATAGAGCAAATGGTTTCATGAAGAAAATATACTTTACTGAAAGTGACCATTTAACAGCGGCGGCCATTTCAGCGTATTTCACTGTAATGTATTTTATTACTTGAAACTTCTGTTTTCCATCAGAGACCATTACTTGAACTCTATCAGACACTTTCATCTCTTGCCTATCTGATATATTCGTCTTAACCCAAATTGCGTCTCCCTTCATAAAGGGATTATTCCAACCCCCCTCCCCCACCCCACTCCGACCCCGTCTCCTGCTGCTACCTGAGTGCCCCTCAGTGCCCCTCCCACGGAGACAAGGACTCTCTGATTGGACAAAGGGCACCGCTGCTCAACAGGTGCTCTCGAATTTGATACGGGCCCTATTACGCATGGATGTGGGCTTCACGCTAACTGCGGTGGGGCATGGGATGATTTGTTATTTCTGTTGGAAACGGCCACCGCTCACATAATTTGAATACATGATTTGCGATCAGCAAATCGTCTTTTTGCGCCTCCGTCCCTTCCTCTGTTCTCCCTTCCTCTGTCCTCCCTTCCTCTGTCCTCCCTTCCTCTGTCCTCCCTCCCCTATCTGTCCCTCCTTCCTCTCCCCATCCCTCCTGATCCTCCCTCTCCCGTCGCCTCATCTCCTCCCTCCCTCCATGTCCATCACCATCCCTCCTGTCACCTCCCATACCCCCCTCCTCTAGTCCTCCTCCCTCATCGCTGTCCTACCCTCCCTCACCTCTCTGTCTCTCCTCCCTTCCCTCATTGTCCTCCCTCCTCCGCTCTGGTTTGCCGTTTTCCTCTGTTCTCCGCTTCCTCGTCCCATCACAAAAATAGCGCTACCATTCCATTAGCATGAGCCACGCCCCAAAATTCTTTGGCCATTCGACCCGGCCGGCGGAACCCGCACCGGCGTAGCGGCGGGCACCCGGGTTGGACAGAAGGAGTGCGCTGTTGCAAGTGGGGTGCACGGTGTTGCAGGTGGCGCTGTCGTACGGCGTGGTGCTGGGCGCCGGCGCGGGGGTGGTGCGCGAGGCGGCCGCGCTGGTGCTGGGCCACTACTTCCGGCGCCGCAGGGAGTTCGTGGAGATGGTGGCGCAGGCTGGCGCGGGCGTCGGCCTCGCGCTCTTCTCCGTCGTCTACAAGGAGGCGCTCGGGTGAGTACCCCTAGTCCATGCACCGGGAAGTAAAGCCGGCTGTCCTACGTGGTAGATCTACCGCATGTAAAAGATCCTCAAGCCTAAAAAAGGCCTCTGAGCGGAATTCAAATCATCCGATTTGTCGAACACGTATTACCGGATGCTTAAATATCCTTCATTCGCCTTCCTTTGGAGGGGAAGGACAGGCGGCTGTCCTATGTGGTAGATCTACCGCATGTAAAAGATCCTCAAGCCTAAACAAAGCCTCTGAGGGAATTCAAACCGTCCGTTTCGTCGAACACGTATTACCGGATACTTAAATACGCCTTCCTTCGGAAGGGAAGTCCAGCCAGCTGCCTCGTGTTGTAGATTTACTGCATGTAATCTCAACCTTAAAAAAAGCCTCTGAGCTAAATGGAAATTGCCTATTTTGTCGCCCACGTGTTTTCCCCGCTAAATAGTGACATGAGTATTGCGAAATTTGAGAGGTCAGGTATAAGAGCAAGCCTAATGACCTGATGGCCTGCTGGCCTTAGTCTCGACCCGTGAAATAAGGGATCATTGAATTGAATTACATTGAATTCCCCACACTCTCATTTATGACATCGAGATTCCTCGAGTGGTCGCAGCGCCCGCCGTTAGACTCAGAGGAAAGAAAAATATAAAACGTGATAAGCAACGTAAGAAATTGACAAAAAATGGCTGGGTATTACTTTCCGGCTTATATTATCCACGCAACATTCCTTGACTGATGGCTTAGAGAAATCCGAGTAGAGTGCGGGTATTAGTTACCAAATTGGACACTTGATTTTATGTACCAAAGCCCATCTCTGAAAAATTCCAACTTTCTCAATAGTTTGCGTTGTAACTTACTCGTTATAAGATCATTACTTCTAGATAGATTTCAGAATGCGAAAGACTGATTAAAAATGCTTCATAAAACAGAAAAAGAATTGAAATAATAAAAATAGAAAAATTAGAAAATGAGGAAAACATTTAAAAAATGAAAAATAGGAAAGTAAAGATGAAAGAATAACAATAGAATCGAAGACATTTTCTTTATTTCCGTAAATAGGAATTAGGTTTTAAATACGTCTTGAGTAATCTGAGGGCCAATTTTATCAGGAATTACTTGAAAACTCATACAGTAACGTATTTTCTTACTATAACTACAATTTTTATATTTTTAATCCATATATTAATACCCATGTACATAAATTTTAGCACACTATGTTCTTCGCGTAAAATATATAGTAATATAGATTATACAAGAGTATTATTAATTTAGTTAATCCATATGTTAATGTAGGTTTTCAATAAGTACTGTTTCTTCTTATATTTAATATGTACTCTCAATTATATATTCATAGAAAATTATTCAATGTTCATCTTAATATCTTCATCTTAATATCTACAAGTTTGCTTGATCAGCTTCTGGGTCAATGACCCCTTCTGAATCAGGTTTTTCATTCAGTTTCCCTGAGCATCCTTGAGCAAATGCTGAGATGGTTCCTTGTTTTACTTCTAGACATAAATGTAACTCCATTATCTGGGCATGTCTTTTATAATTTACTGAGAAATATAGGGCCTAGATATTCAAATTATCGTTCTTCATGTTGTCGCAACATGAAGTATTATTCTTTCATGAAGAACATGATGAGGGATGAGACCCTACATCTGTAGCCGATTTATCTTTGAAAATATATTTCATTACATCGGAACGAATATTTTACTAACAATTCTTACAAAAAATGCTCATTTCATTTTGTATTTAAAACTCAACTAACATATGGCTTAGGGTAACGATTACAGAATTATGAAAACGATGACAGATTTCACATCTCCCGGTAGCACGTCTCACAAAGTTTTAACTGTTTTAAAAAAAAATTAAAAAATAAAGATTAAGGTGGTAAAAGTGTAATTGAGTATGCTTATCGAAGGATGATTATTGTTATAGTTACGTTGACGACTGAAAGAGATGACGGTTCTCTTGGAACCCAAATATTCTGCATCGAAAATTGGCTACTCGTGGAACTCAAGCGCTATTCTCTGCCCTCAAAAAGTAATTACTCCGATTATACATTGCATTTATATTTACCAATCAATAATCTGATCATACTCTGAGCTTCTGTGCTTCTATGCTCTCCTGTCAGACTCAAACGGCAAATACAATATTTTAAAATTCAGATTTTCCAAATAAATTACTCCTAACCATTATAACAGCACTCTGGATTAGACCAAATTCCCAACAACATAATGAACTCGGCATCATACTGACTGCGTCCATTTTTCCTTGTTATCTTATCAGTTCTATCTCAAAATACCACAGATTCCCTCAGCAGTATTGGCAAACAAAACCCACTTCACAAATGGATAAAGCGAAAATTCCCACCTCATTTTTTTGACCCACCACGATTAGAATTCGCCCGTTGTGGCTTTGCGTATAAAATTCACTGGTAAAATCCTCAATGTAATCAAATGTCAATTAAGTTTTAAATTACAACCTGTGTTTCGTACTCGACTGTATAGAGCTTGCTGGCCAAACACAAATGATTTTTTTTTAATTGAAGAGAGCTAGTATGTATCTACAGTAATTATTTAAATAATGTGCGTACATAAAATTGTAGTAGTTTCTAAGAATTCAAGGAAAAACCTTTTCTCGTGTGAAGACAATAGTAATTTCGAAGTAAACAATAGTAATAGTATTTAGACTACAGTAGCTCTGAAAGGAAGTTTATGAGCAATTCAACGACGACTTCCAAATCTCTTACGACACTTAATTTTACGAAGAATGTATTACATTCAGCTGTATCACATACTGCTCTAAGGTTTTACATACTCAAGAAAAACAATAGAATACAATAATAGAAGGTAAACTAGGCACTATTTCTCGCAAGCATTATTATCTTATTTTTTCTTGTCGCAATGAACAAAAGACTACCTTCAGAAGCTATTTTATCACTAAGATAATACCTCATGTTTTTTATTTATTACGTTGTTCTTTTCTCCTTTAACACATCCAAATATATTTCTTTCTTCAATAACATTGCAGTTACTGTAAAATCAAGAGTCGCCTTGAATAAACGAATATCTGTGCAGAACAAATCCCACGTCATTGCAGCATTAGCTTTAAAATTTCTTGAATAATAAAATGAATGAAATATATATGTGTAAATCAGATTTTATGAGGCAATTTAAATGACCCAAGGAGTATTGTCAGGCAAGTAGGATTTAACAGTAGTTGAAAACTCATGAATAGTAAAGTTATTAGAGAGATTTGTAGATAGAGTTGAGAAACTCTTAGAACTTTTGTCCCTTTAATTTATAGTTCCAAATTGCTTTATCATCGCAGATCGCTAAGTAGGAACTGCGCACTAGTGACAACTAAGCTTGCTAAATCGAAAGTACTTTCAAGGAGTAATCCGAGCAAATTATGAATAATTCTACTGTTATCCTAGACTGAACAAATACGATAGTGTGCAAATGGCACAAAAAACGTCTTTCTCGAACGAAAATATTCTGCATTTATAGATTAGCTTAAGATCTCGACGGAACAGGCAAGATAACCAAACTCAGATATTGTATTTATTTAATGAAATGAATGAAAGCGACAATGGTAATGAACCTAGTGAAAGTGCTTCAAAAATTTATTTTGTATGGAAATGTGTGTCTATTTTACAAGAAGTTGTAAAGTATTAATTGCCTAGCTTTCAAATTGTTTAATCGATATTTTATCAATGAAGAAATTTTATACTAAGTAGTATAAACATAGCGTGAAAATTTTACATACACAAGCTTCATCCATTCTCATTTTTAAATTTAGAGTAATCAAAAATGTAATATTGTGATAATATAATTTTACCAAACGTGAAGGGGATAAATTAATTTAAAATGTATTACTATTTCTCACGGATGGGAAAATGAAAAAGTATTCATACATTTACAAAATCCATACAAATAAATTGAATTTGCACATAAATTTAATTTCCAGGGGATCTCTCGCTGGAACAATCGTTTGTCCGTGTTGCTTTCAAACAGAAATAAAATATTAGACTCTTCGTCGCCTAATTACGTGGTTGCAAAGAGGCGTGTCACCCACTTGTGGTACGACAGCTCGTGGGTATTGTTCCGAGCAGTTAAGAATTAGCTCGGGCGTCAGCAGTCCACATATCGGTTGGCACCTCTCACCGCAGGCTGAGTCAGTGCGAAGATGGTCAGCGGTGATAGGCGTCGATTCGCGTAACTAATACGCAACCAGAACGGTCTTTCGTGGCACAATTGCCAGTTCGATGGCATCAGGGGCACGCAAAGACCGAGCGAAGACTCGAACAATCGCGGTTTAACTGATGCAGTGGTAATCTACCCCCGGTGGAATCGCGCCTCGGGCCACATATGCGGATTGTTTAGATAACTCGCAAGTACTGTTTCTTTTTTGTTTTTGCTGTTTTCTTTTTCGCGATGACTGGTGTTGCCATGCAACGGAAAAATAAAGAGCCGGAGGTTCGTCCTTTCTCTTCTAATTGCACCACAATGCATCACACGTGGGTACGCGCGGAACAGCTTGTCGGTTGTAGTAGCTGAAGTAGTGATGCGACATCCATGTCGATGTTTTTCTAGAATGTTTTCTAGAATGTCATGTTTTTATAGAATCCGTATTTTTATGCACACTTCAATGTTTTCTACACCGATATATTAAAGCCGATGTTTTAACGTCTTCGAAAATTCTTTGTGATTGAAAAATTCTCATACTTACAATTTTGTAAAAGTTAAAATATACAATAACCACTGATGGCAATATCAGGTAGTGTTTGAACCAAAGAAATACAGTTTGTACTTCCTTCATTAAGCTGACTCTCTCTCCCAGGAGATTGCCGCGATGCCTTCTTAGCTTTTCCTCGTATTTTGCACATAGAAAGGTCGCCAACGCATGCGTGTGCATAGAGCCTCCCTTCTCCCCCGTACCCTTCCTCGGCGAACTGAGGACGGACACTTCGAGATTACCATGAGCAATCTGGCTTA